GCCGTCATTGTTATTTGGCGGGTCCGGGCTGGGGATTCGAACCCGCCACCTTAGGTGTACATGGTTGGCGCCTTAGCCGGTTGAGCTATGGGCACCGAGCCAAGGGCGCCTGTAGTCTTAGTGGCACTCTACCCAGGGTGACAAAGTAAGTGTCTGTCTCAAAAAGAAAAAAAAAAGGTATTACCATTCCTATTTTATTTTATTTTATTTTTTTGAGACAGAGCCTCAAGCTGTTGCCCTGGGTAGAATGCTGTGGCATCATAGCTCACAGCAACCTCCAATTCCTGGGCTTAAGCAATTCTCTTGCCTCAGTCTCCCAAGTAGCTGGGATTACAGGCACCTGCCACAACTCCGGTTATTTTTTGGTTATAGTTCTCATTGTTGTTTTGGCAGGCCCTGGCTGGATTTGAACCTGCCTGCTCTGGTGTATGTGGTTGGCAACTTAGCAGCTTGAGCTACAGGTGCCCAGCTAGCATTCCCATTTTAGGTATGAGGAAATTGGGTCTCAGGAAGGTTAAATCACGGGGCCAAGGTTACATGGCTAGGATAGACAGAGGCCAGATTGAATCCCAGGTCTACCATCATTAACTGCTATTAAAATACCTCTAATTCCTCTTCTCGCAGGATTAAAGAGCACTGGGGTTGTATGGGCAAAAGGGTGGCTTTGTAGAGGCCAGAGGTCTCCCCCTATGCCATTCACACCCAGTTCAAGGCCCAGGGTCCCCTGAATGAGCATGTTGGGACATATTTCTCTCTCTCTCTCTTTTTTTTGAGACAGAATCTCACTTTGTTGTCCTCAGTTGAGTGCTGCGGTGTCACAGCTCACAGCAACCTCAAACTCTTGGGCTCAAGCAATTCTCTTGCCTCAGATTCCCTAGTAGCTAGGACTCCAGGTGCCTGCCATAACACCCGGCTATTTTTTGTTGTAGTTGTCATTGTTTAGCTGGCCTGGGGCAGATTCATACCTGCCAGCCTTGGTGTATGTGGCTTTTGCTGTAACCACTGTACTATGAGCACCAAGCCCTTATTTCTCTCTTTGATGATGAACTTAAGGGAAAACTTGTGAGAGCTGTAAATGAGTTGGAAATAGAAACAAGAGTCAACCAAGACCAATACTTCCGGGTGTCTGGAGGGAAGAAGCAACTCCCAGGAAGTGAGAAAGAGGCCCCAGGAACAGACTGGGCAGCAGGGTGTTGGCACTTGTTGACACTGGCCTGAGAGCAGTGGCTTGTAAGCTAGGCAGCCTTAAGCTGGAGCCTAACTTCCCTGCAGGGCCCTCAACTTCCTCCTCAGATGACCAGAGGGTCTGTCTGGAAGAGCTATGAGGCTTCTGCCGGGTCAGCACAGTTGGTCTATCTGAATGTAAGGGAGGTGTCCTATTCACTCTTCAGTCCCCTTTTTACATCTCTGACCCTGTTACAGATTGAATTATGTCCCAAAAAAGGTATGTTGAAGACTTAACCTCCAGGTACCTGTGAGCTTATCTGGAGATAGATCCAGTATATTTAGGTTAAGATGAGGTAATTAGGGTGGGTCCTAATCCCATAACAGCTGTCCCTATCCTCTCTCTCTCTCTCTCTCTCTCTCTTTTTTTTGAAACAGGATATCACTCTTGCCAAGGCTAGAGTATAGTAGTGTCATCATAGCTCACTGTACTTCTGGGATCAAGCAATCCCCCTGCCTCAGCCTCCTGAGTAGCTGCGGCTATAGGCACCTGCCACCATACTCAGTTAATTTTTCTATTTTTTGCAGAGATGGGGTCTCACTCTTGCTCAGACTGTTCTCAAATTCCTGGCCTCCAGTAGGGCATGAAAAATGGGCAGAACATAACTGTACAGTAAGGAATTAACTACAAATATAGGTAGCGCCACAAAAAGTACACTCAGCTTGCTGTCTGAGAGGAAACTGGAATATCCAAACCCAGATTGCCCAGATTTTCAGATTTCAACAAAGTCCTTGGCCTCCCAAAGTGATAAGATTGTAGAGGTGAGCCACAGAGCCTGGGAAGACCTCATCTCTTAAAAAAAAAAAAAAAAGAAAAGAAAAGAAAGAGGAAATGTCACATGGGTTCAGATACACAGAAAGGAGAACACTGTGTGTTGATAGAGGGAGAGATTTGGTTCCTCCTAAACTATTAGAGAATCGTTTTCTGTTGTTTTTAAGCCACCACACTTGTGTTATTTTGTTACAGCAGTCCTCAGAAACCAACATAGATCTCCCGACACACGCATAAGGGCCAGCCATACCAGCCCTTTCTCTGTTCTTCCACAAGCAAAGCCCCTTCACACTCCAGGGCTTTCGTGTGTGCTCCTTCTTTGAGAACGTCCTACACCTGCCTACCCTGCCCCTAGGCCTCCCATACTCCTTCCAAACTCAGCTTAAATGGTCACCTTCAGGGAAATCTGGGTTTGGATATTCCAGTTTCGTCTCAGACAGCAAGCTGAGTGCATTTTTGTGGCCCTCCCCGTATTTGTAGCTAATTCCTTACTATACAGTTATGTTCTGCCCATTTTGCGTGCCCTACTCTAGGTGCCAGGACAACAAAGCCTTGGTCTGGCACAAGTCCTAGCGGTCCTACCTCCCACTGAGCAGTTTCTGCCCCATAGCAGGAAGCCAGTACACATGAGGATGAAATGCATGGATAAAGGTGTGCAGAAATGCCTGGTCTGGCAATGGGAGGCCCAGACAGTGGGGCGACTGCTCCCTTAGCAGCCTGGGCTCCCCTGCCCACTCTATATATAGGACCTTTCTCTCCTTGTCAGGCCAGGCAAAGTCAAGAACTGGCCTCTGACTCACCAGGGCTGGCCTCCCTGGTCCCTATCATTCCCACTCCTCTCAACCAAGCAGCATCTCTGTCTTTCTAAATGACCTAGCTCTAGTGCCCTCTACATCTGGCAGGCCTGCCTTGGAGCAGGTTCAAACCTAGGAAAATGAGCCCAGAGCAGCCAGGTGGGCAGAGGTGAGGTAGAGAGGAAAAATGGGAGTGGAAGGAGATCCCAAGACTAAAGCAATGTTGAGATTTTTCTGTCTTTACAGTATACTTTAAACATGAAACAAATGATATGCATATATGTTCAACATAGGGAAAAGAAATCTCAGAAAACATAATGAGCAAAAAGGGAAAAATAGAAGAAAAATCACCCACATTCCTACTGTGTAGAGTAATCATTGTTAGCATTTTGTCATACATCCTTCCAGATTTTTATGTGAACCATTTGTAGGGGAGAGAAAGTATAGGGAATTCCCTCCATTCTTAGGAAATTATTTTCAAAAACCAGAGGGTTTCCAGGAAGCCTCATTGCTCCTGTGAGCCCCATCAGGGAGCAGCTAGAGACACTCCCTACTCCAAGGGAAACTATAATCATGAAGCTTGGTCCTGGCACCTTCTACCACCTCCTATGAAATCAAGCCACCATGTCCAGCACAACTGCCTTTTTATTTATTTATTTATTTATTTATTTTTGAGACAGAGTCTTACTCTGTTACCCAGGCTAGAGTGTTGTTGGCTTTACACCAGGTCACAGCAACCTCAAATCTTGGGTTCAAGCCATCCTCCTGCCTTAGCCTCCCAAGTAGCTGGGACTATAGGCACCTGACACAATGCCAGGCTGATTTTTCTATTTTTAGTAGAGACAGGGTCTTACTCTTGCTCAGGCTGATCTCGAACTCCAAGGATCCACCCACCTCAGCTGAGCTCAAGGAATCCACGGCCTCGGCCACCCAGAGTGCTATCATTTTACAGCAGTGAGCCACCATGCCTAGCTATAACTGCCTTTTTGACGAGAACCCGTGAGCTTGCTCTGAGAAGCCACGGGCGTGGCCATTTCCTGTAAAGAGCCAAAAACCAGCTCCTCTGCAGGCCTTCTGCTCCCACCAAGCCTTTTATCATAAACGCTGTTGTTACAGGAAATAACTTTGCTCATTTTCCCCGCCTCCTTCCTGATGTCACAGTCTTCAGAGGTCTGCATCTGGAAATCAGAAAAAAATAATTAGACAGTGAAGCATCGTCTGGTGTGTGTGGCAAACTGAGTGTGTGGAGTCCTGCCCAGGTATTAGGTAGAGTGCATTCATTTGATCATTGCGGGGTTGCGGTAAACCTTTGACTGTGGTGGGTGTGAATGTTCGTAAACACCTTCAGTTTGGGGTAGCAAGGGGTAATAGGATGGGGGCTTTCTTAATTTTACCCTCCCACCACAAGATGGGCCTGGCTGTTTGGGGCTTTTAGAGGATGAACAGGAAACACTCTCCTCGCCAGAGTTGCAGTTTGGAGAGATGCCAAGACTGGAGTGCTGTGGAGAAAAAAGTTGTTTTTTAACTTTTTATTTTCAGGCTTCACTCAGAGCGGCTGCCTTTGGTTGCTACTAGCGATTGTGCAGCGCCTTCTCTTTCTGTCACCTTAAAGGAACAGCCTGTGTCCAGGAAGCAGAAGGTAGGATCAGGAACAGCTGGGCTGGAACTCCTAAGCCTAGGACCCCTGCGGACCTAGAGATGAGGGAGTGCCTTCTGGTTGCCCTGCCCCCCACTCCCTGAGTTCTAATTTTCTGTTTGGGACAGATTCTAGGAGTGGGGAGCCCAGGTCCCCAAGGGTCCCTGCAAGGGAGGGCTGCAAAGGAACCTCTCAAGTCTGGGTCTGGGATAGTCGCTTCCTTCTTTCTTCACCACACTTGTGACCTCACTGGGGCTTGGTGGGGCACACATATGCAGGCCCTGCTCTGTTTTTAGCAAACCTCCTCCTGGAAGAGCTTTGAGATGATGCCTGTCCTGCCACATGTGTCTTTGAGAGCAGCCTCTGTGAATGGGTGGGCACCAGGGACAGGGAGACCTGGTGGGAGCCTCACAGCCAGGGTCTCAGTTTCAGAAGGGCAGGAGAATGAGGAGAGTGTGGCTATGGATTTTTTGTTGCCCACAGATGCCCCACTCCAGCCTGCATCCATCCATTCCACGTCCCAGAGGTCATGGGGCCCAGACGACAGCCCTTGTCCTGCTGATTGCCTGCCTGGTAGCCCTTTATAAACTAGTGGGACCAACAGCCAACATTCTCCAGTACCTGATGTTCCACCTGGCCTCTCTGCAGCTGAGACTGCTGTTAAAGAGAGTCTGCAGTCTGGTCGAGGAGCTGCGCCACGTCCACTCCAGGTGACTCCCTATGGTACCAATGGTGACTGGGCACCCAATATGTGTTACTCCTTTGACACCCAGTCCTGCCCCTCCCTGAATCTCTCTGGCTGAACTGGACGGGGGGTGGACCTTGGCTGTCATCTGCAGGTACCAAGGCTACTACTGGAAGGCTGTGTGGGCCTGCCTAGGCTGCCCGATCCGCTGTGGGGTCTTGCTAGTGCTGTCCTGTTTTTCCTACTTCTTCTTCCCACATGAGGCTGGCCTGCCCTTCCCTTGGATGCTTACTTTGCTAGGCACATCAGAGGCCCTGACCATCCTCCTGGGCCTCCAGGTAAGATATAAAAGGAGACGGAGGGTCTTGCCAAATTGTGGCTATGGCCAGTGTGACCTGCTCTGAGCTCATTATTGGGAGTGGGACTAGTTTAAAGGTTTGGCATTCTTAGAGTAGAGTCTATAATATCCTGGAACAGTAGGTTCAACAATGGTAGAGAAGGGAGGAAATCAGCTGCAGATTGGGAAACCTTGGAGGAGGAGGGCTCTGGGTGTCCTTCACAGAGACCCCCAGCCTCATCCTGTTCCCCACAGGACCTGTCCCCAGCTGAGGTATCTGCAGTCTGTGAAGAAAGAAATTTTAATGTGGCCCATGGGCTGGCATGGTCATATTACATCGGGTACCTGAGGCTGATCCTGCCAGGTGGGCCATCCTCTGTATTCCCATTTCCAGACCTACATGACAGACAATAAGACACACAGCCTCTTATGCTTCCAGAACTCGCTACCCTTTTCAAAGCATTTTTATAGCTTACCAAATCATTTGTAAGTATGAAAGGTATTATTATTATAGCTGGTTTAGATGGATTTAGAGTCACTGAGTGACTACCCAAGGTCACCTGTAAATTCTTCCTCTTTTTTTCTCTCTGCTTGGGAGAAGTGGGATAGGGTCTTGCTCTGATTCCCAGGCTGGAGAGGCAGTAGAACAGTCAGATCTCACTGCAGTCTTGAACTCCTGCATTCAAGCGATTCTCTCATCTCAGCCTCCTGAGTAGACAATAGCCACAAGTTGACATGCCTAGCTAATTAAAATTTTTTTTTTTGTAGAGACAAGGGTCTCACTATGTTGCCCAGGCTGGTCTTGAACTCCCAGGCTCAAGTGATCCTCCTGTCTTGGCCTCCCAAAGTGCTGGGATTACAGGTGTCAGCCACTTCACCTAGCCAATTCTTTCTTTTTTTTTGAGACGGAGCCTCAAGCTATCCCCCTGGGTAGAGTGCCATGGCATCACGCTCACAGCAACCTCCAACTCCTGGGCTCAAG